AAATTTTGGGCCGAATTTCTAGTTCGCTCTAATATGAATTTGTAAGAACAACTCAAATTTGGTTTTATTCCAAAAATAAAAGCAGGATATAATGAAACTGAAAATCTTATTTCAGAGCACCAATGATCGCTCGACATTTCAGTTTCATTAGCTATATGGTTTTCTGGTGCTGCAAAAAATTAGCCAGCGCTTTGATCTTAAATTCCAAGGCAAGAAATGAGATTGCAAGCTATTCGCCTGCGATGACTCGATGAACTATTTTCCAGAAATATTCAGTTTTCTAGTTGTAAACTTGGCTCTAGTTTTAATAGGAGATTACACTTTAGGAAATACAAAAAGAGATATTTAGAATTGTAGTCACATTTGGCATATGTTCATGATACTCAAGCCGCCTAGCTTGTCTAGTTCAAAAGTTAAATTAAGCGAAGACACCACACAAAACATGAAAATGCCATAATGCGCTGTCAATTCATGCACTTTAGACATGCGAAGGTGCTAAAAACATGGCATTTTTTACTCCCAGTAACTAATTAGGTAAAGATTTTTCAAAAAGAAGCCTTCGGATGAAGGAAAAAAGCCAAAATGCAAGAATAATAATGACCCTTCAGAAATTAGCTTGTGCATCCCATATTAGTAATGCGAATAGGATATTCCTACATATCTGGACGCGATTATTGCCAAGCTCTTCAATCCTAGGCTACATAGCTCCAGTTGGTACTCATAAACTCTTCAACACATCTGCAATTGCCTCTTAAAATTTTTTCAAAAAAAGCTATTGAAAACAGTTTTCAAGTCCATTACTTCAATTTTTTCAATAAAAATCTGTCAAAAACGCCAATAGCAAACAAAAAAAGCGGCAAATAAGTGCGTCAGAATAAACTGACGGTTGCGAAAAAAAAACCGTAATATTTCACACTCCCATTAAGAAAGTATAACTTGTCTTCTTCAGCTCTCCGACTCTTCCTGCCCACGCTAGTGATGCATTTGAGTGGAAATTTCACTCTGTCTTTGTAAATTACCAAT